AATTTATGGACAATCACAATGGTGACTAAAGAGGCTTTTAAGAGGGCCAGTTAACAGTTTCGAGTGAACGTCCAATTTATTTCTTCAAATGAGAGGAGTTGGATATGTGTTAGAACTTAGAAGTGTGAAAATTTAGATACCAAACCCGTATTTAAATAAAATTGAGCTAGTGATATAAATATAAAGTTTACCTACAAAGGTTGCAACAAATAGCTAGTATGCCATAAATATTTTGGTAAGCTAATAATTGAGCCATAAATATTTTGGTATGCTAATAATTGAGGGTAAAATATCTTGGCTACTACTAAAGTTTGAGAATTGATGAAGTTATACCACTTAATTAAGAATAGGGCATCAGGTACCGCTGAATTCTATTATATGTGCACCCGGTACCACTTAAGTTTATAGTTAAGTGCATTCCGTTAAAGTTGACGAAATCTTCTTAGAATATTTGATTTTTTTTAATTTCATAATTGGTCCTTCAACTTTTCTTACTGTAAAAAAAATCATTTGGACTTTATGTAAGCATCATTTGTTATTTTTTAGTTCGATTCTAATAATTGAATAATTCGCTGAAGCAAATATATCCTATGAATTCTATCTCGATATAAATAATCTGAGGATGTTATAATAAGTTCTCTTACATCATGTTGATGTTGTCTAATTTTCCATGTTAAATCTCCTTTTAATTCTCTAATATTATATCATAGATGTTCCATATTAGTTAAATTTACTAATTCTAATTCTCTTCCTGTATTCATATTCATATTTTCTTTTCTGCATTTGTTATTGAATGTTGTAGCTTTTATAGTTTATTTATTACTTGGTTAGTTTTCGTCATTGTTGTTCTATTTTTTTATGCGAAATCAAAAAATAGCATTAAGACCAGGCCACTTGCAGAGGGAACCCTGCAGCACCTCTCAAACGTTTACAACGCAGAAGACAAAACGTACAATCCGCTCCTATCTATATATTTACTGAATACTATCTAACTCTAACCGAAGGCAGGATCTTCACATACTCGGTAGGTAACTTCCTCATGTATCAACTTCACCAACATAGCAGGATCTCTGATTACCTTAGTCCCATACATTCGAGAACACCTCTCACGCCATATGTGGCTCACAGCAGTACACCACAACACTTTGCAAACTCTCAATTGAGCAGTCTTCTTCTTCCATTTCCTTGCACACCAAGCAACTGTTGCTTCCCAGCCTCCTACATCTGGTGGAGAAAGGCTTTTCATACAAAGCTTCAAAACAGAAAATGAGTAAGAACAATAAATCAGTAAATGATCCCTGCTCTCTACACCTCTTGGACACAAAAGACAGCAGCCAGAGACATTTTTTCCCCAGGCCAAGAGTTTATCCTGAGTAACCAATCTCCTGTGGATAGCAAGCCACAGAATCAATCCATGCTTAGGAATAATTTCCTTTGCCCAGACTAATCTCCACCACTGCACTTCTGGTTTTTTCTCCCTGATATCATTCCATACCTTGGACACCGAGAACTGTTTCATTTGCTCCCCCTGCCACAGAGTACTTCTCCCATTCCCAGAAACAAAAGGACAGGCTATTGCCCTGCATTTCAACAACCGTTTCCAAATCCATGTCCCAGCAGAACCAACTGAGAGTTCCCAGAGTTCTATTTTTTTTCAATTACTGAAATATGTTTAATTCTTTCTTATTGTGTTTCATTTATCCTTCTTTAGTCTTGATGTACTGATGATCGATTAGGTTCTATTTATCTGTTCTGATGGTGCTTCTAATTGAACTAGCTTTTAACCCGGCCTGTTGGCCGGTGAGTTTAATTTTACCATTTACATTAATCAATTTATCTATATGTTTAAACTATTTTGGATCTTCTAAAATTTTTACATTTGCATTCATTGGTGAGTATGCGGTGCGTCTATAAATTAAAAATTCTCAATACTTAGCACATTCACTTATGATGCTTCGATTCACTGATCATAACTCATGTCACAAAGATATATCACCTCCCATATAGAATCTTATGTCAAGATTTGTCAATAACGATACTTTTTTTTTTGTCTTATACAATATATGTCATTCAATGAATCTCGAGTTTGGACGAACTCTCAGTCAATGATGTTGTTCAGATGACGACAACTTAGTTAGAATTTTTTTATAAAGGTACTTCAATATTACATAAATTTGGTCATCCCAATTGAAAGTTGACTGTCTTAGTGTAAGATCATATTTGTCTATCAAGACACTCAATTTTATATCTTATACAATATGTACCAATTGTTAATTCCTGAAGTTTAATATAGACTCACCCTCAACTCATGGTCGTTGTTTAGATGTTGGTTTAGAATCTCAGTCCAAGATACTCACATACTGTCGAGGGTTCTAATCTTAACATGGTCCATTGTTGAATAATTTTCTAACTTATCAAATACACATTTTGCTAAAATTTATTTATCTTTGGTGTTTGTTTTGAGATAAAAATTCCACTAATTATACTAATATCTTCATTTTGTTGGTGTAATGCCACATCTATTGTCAATATCTAAGCATGATCTTATACTCTAAGTAAGAAAACACTATCTGGACCACGAATTAACCGGATTTGTGGGCATGATACTATACCCTAATCCTTGATGAGTGAACCCTAGGTCTTAGTTATCTAAATCATAGAGCTTAACCCCTAAGATTGTGCATGTAATTTGTTACATAGATTTTAACGAATCATGACCATTGATTTTTGTTTATAATTAAATTGATCTTAGGTATGAGATTTATAAATTTAAGACCTAGATTTTAATCTTTAAGGGTTTGAGAATAATACCATATGCAACTCCAGTCAATTCAAGGTCTAGATATCATTTTCTTACTCAAGGTATGTCATAATATACATATATAAATATAAAGAGTTTAATGTATTTTTAAGTGTAATTAACACATTTGTTTGACCGAAATATGTAAACTGTTAAGAAAAATAAAAGGAAGTATGAATAAATGTAAGAGAAAATAAGGTATGGAAGCATGCATTATAAGAGAGAAGAAAAACTGTCTTTCTTTATCGTCTTCATTTGTACAATCAGGTACTATATTATGGTTTCGTCAAGTTTCTATCAAAATGAAAAAATAACTTTTGAAGCGTTTTGCTATTTAATATTTGTTTTCGTTGATAGATACAAACATTAGAAAAAGATAGTGTTTGATAACCAAAACATAAAATTATATAGTTGGTTTTTCAAATTCAATTGATTATTAAATGTTGATTATCTAAACTTCCTTCTTTATATTTTGTTTTTAAAATTTTTTATTACTTATCTGTGTGTTTAATTTATTTTTTTTATCGAAATATAACATATATTTAGTTCTAATAAAAAGAAAAAGAAAAATTAATTGATCAAATTTAATCAAATATATTTTTGAAGCATTACAATATATGTCAATCTCCAAACATAAGTATACTACTGTTAAACATATATATTGAAAAATAAAATTATTGAATAAAAAAAGAAAACATTTAAAGAAGATAGAGATAGCTACATAAATCATCATTAAAATAAAAAGAAAATATTAAAAAAAGATAGATAGCTCTATATTAATTGATCATTAACTAACTTTTTTGTTTGTATCGAAATATAACATATATTTAGTTCTAATAAAAAGAAAAGAAAAATTAATTGATCAGATTTAATCAAATATATTTTTGAAGCATTACAAAATATGTCACTCTCCAAACATAAGTATACTACTGCTACACATATATATTGAAAAATAAAATTATTGAATAAAAAAAGAAAACATTTAAAGAAGATAGAGATAGCTACATAAATTATCATTAAAATAAAAAAAAATAAGATAGATAGCTCTATATTAATTGATCATTAACTAACTTTTTTGTTTGTAAAAAAAGTGTCCAACATGGCACCTTGTAATTTCTCCAAATGCTTATGTGGCAACAAACTACTTTTGAATTGATATAATATTAGATATAGATATAGATAGATTAGAGGTTTACATAGATATTCTAATATTGATTTTAAATATTTATTATTATCTTCTAGTATATTTATTATTCTTCTTGATATTCATTTATTATTTTTACTAATTCATCTATTTTATTGAAATTTTTTTATTAGCCATTCTTGTAATACTATGTTTAAAAGGTTTTCTAATTTTTATACTAGATAAAACTTGTTGAAATGTAGTTTTGGATTTTTTTTTAAAGTTCTGGGTACCAAAAAGTAATTAAAAGTTTGGGTTGGATGGAAAGCTAAACGGATGCACATTTAGCGACTTTTATGGTACCCGACGCGCTATTCAAATTTAGTAGTATGTCTACCCCAATTCTCAAATATAAGTGGTAGCTGAGGTATTTTACTCTAATAATTGACTGGATTTTGAGAAATTCCGTAAATTCGAGATTAGATATATTGGTAGGCTGGGCTCATAATCCCTACTAACGAAGTGTCATCTTGTTACTAACATGCACTAATAGCTACTAACCAACAACGACACTGTCATAATGAAAATTTGAAGATATTTTTGTTGATTTTATTTCTTCATTGAAACTGACAATATTTATATATTTAACGAATGCTATAAATTTTTTTTTTTGAACTTAAGATTTTCAAATTGAAGACCAACGATAATGCTATTAGATTAAACTCTTATTCGTAGGTTAAAATTGAGTGAATGAGAATCTATGTTAGCCACATAAGCAAGAAACTGACGCAATTAACTAAGATTAACAGAAGTTAGAAAAGAGTGATCAAACTTGAAATATGTAACTAATCTTAATAACCACGAATGAAATAAAATATTTTTAATCACCAACCTAAAACTTTTTGATAATTTCAGTTACGAATCTTAATATTTTTAATCACCAACCTAAAATTTTTTGATAATTTCAGTTACGAATCTTTTGCAATTTATTACTTTTTATTAGCTTCCGCTTTATTTTATTTTTTTATGAATTTCCGCTTTCTATTATAAAATTAGAGAAAATAATTTTAATATAGGGAAGACTGAAAAATTGAATCGGAATTAGTACGCAGGGAGAGTTGCCGCCTCTGCCCGGCGAGTTGGGCACCGCGTTTTCTGCCTCTCTATTTCTCTTCTGTGGATTCTTGAGTACTCCACTCTCACGCTCAGGGAAAGGAGAGGAAGAGACGACCATCTGGGCGAAGATGGACGCTTCGCTTGCACTGCCGCTATGTGCCCTTCTTCTATTGTCTTCCACACTCTCGTCTTCCATCATCGACCTTTCTCGTGCAGCAGCCTACGAAACGACCTTACTGAAAGGTACAATGGGTTTCAGTCAAATTTCTCTCTTCGCACAACCCAAATGCGGTGGGTTTTTCTAGTTGGTCGCTTATTATTTGTTGGATATCTTCTTTTGGAGTTCTTGGATATCTCCGCTTATTACTTCTCGGTGGTTGATGACTTGATGGTTCTTTAGGAGTTGGTTTGGCTGTTAAGTATTCACGTCTGTAAATGCCCTGCGTTTTAACTTTTAATTTTCATCGATCTTGTCAATTTAGGTGATATGCCGAGCATTTCTGTAGGGAAAAGTAGAATGCAAATGATTGTATACTCTCGTTGGAGAGAATAATGATAGGGGGATTGCGGTAGTAGTTTCCTTTGTGGAAATGCATTGAGAAATATTGTCTCGTACTCTATGCTAGTTGTGGCAGTATGCTGTAATCGTCAAGGGCAAGGTTTTGGACACGGTTGTTCATGATCCGATTTATTGCCCAGCTCCCCGAAAAACCTTTCTTTGCTGCCTTAGTTGCCAATATGAAAACTAACTTACAAATTGCTTTGCAGGTGTTGATCTAGGAAACCCAAGACGAATCCATTTTAGCTCTCAGTATGGACATTCACCTGGCCGAGATCCAAAAGAAGCATTGTTCTGTGAACGCATTAAAATTTCAGGTCAATCGAGACTGGAACTTGGTAGCTATTCTAGCTCTCTCAGGGTTACACTAGCACCGTTTCCTGTTATCCCTGAAAGACTTCATCGAAGGATTCATGTTTGTTTCCACCGGTAAGTGAATATATATCTTGACATTAAGGAAACCTCAGTTGCAGTTTTGCTGTTTTGATCTGATTGTCAAGGATTATTCAGGAATGCTTCACTTGGACGGTGTGATTGCGAGAAAGAAGATTGGAAAACGTTTCAAAATGCTCAATGGAGTTCAGTCATGTCTCCTTATCAGGAGAGATTTATTGATGTGAAGACCACTGGAGGAATATCTGGTGGTGGTATCACTGTCCAGCTTAAAGAAGGTAATATTTCCCTTTGTTTATCTTTATGTTCCTTGTTCAACTCCTTGTCCTCTTAGATGTCATTGGTTATCATTGGTCTTCTTTTGGATTGCAGAATCACAACGGTGGCGTCTCTTGTGTCTGGCAGTGGGATTCATATTGCTATTGCTTGCACCAATTGTCAGCAGCTGGGTTCCTTTCTATTATAGCACCTCAATGGCTATTGGCATTTTCCTTGTCATCATCATTCTTCTATTTCAGGTATATGGGATAATCTCAATTCTCTGGTACAAATCTTCGTATAGCTCCTCACTGTCTCGTTCTGTGCAACTATTTGTTACCTTGGATTATTCTTTGGCTTTTATTTGATGGTGTAAGGAAAAAGGGTGAACTTATTTGTTCCCAAGAGTTCGCCGAGTTCATTATGATCCAAAAGTTGGTATTCTTCGTTGGTTTGGGTAGTTTGAGATGGTTATCCATTTTACCCTCCAAATGCTAGTTCCTAAGCAGGTTTTTTTTCTTCTCTCAATATAATGTGATTAAAATCAGTGCATGATTTGGTTTGTTTGCTTATACAGAAACTTCCAAACTCTTATCTAGAAAATCATAGTTCGACCTATGTTTGGGGTGTTTAATTTATCGAGTGATGGCAAACCGTTTGAAATATTGTGTCTTAATCTGGTCCGTACGATCCCATTTTCCTGTTTCATCCTCCTAGTTTTAATATTCCATACGTAACACTTACTGTCTAATCTGCAGGGCATGAAATTACTGCCGACTGGAAGGAAAAACATCATGTATCTCTCAATATATGGATCAGTGGTGAGCGGACTCAGAGATGGTACCTTTTAGATTCGGTTAATCTGTTACTGGACAAAATTCTCACTCAATTCTTGGTTACAGCTTGGGGTTGGCACCTTCATTTTGCATCACTTATCAGAGCTCATCAAATCTATTCTTCTTAATTTTGGGCTTGATGAGGAGATGCACAATCCGGTGAGTCCTAAACTTCGTTTTCTTGCCCGCAATTTGAATAGCATTGTTTATTGTATTCTAGGAAGATCCCATTTTATGTATTGTCAAATTTGTAGGCATAGAACTCCGTTATAATTCAGTCTCATACTTTCACTTGACTTTATTTTTTAGTTCCCCTGAACTTCATTTCAGGATTTCCTAAATCTTGCTGTAACAATAAGAGCTATTATTTTAAATATATATTATGTTTGATGGCTCTTGTCAAGTAGATTTCTATGAACTGGAACTCATCCTCCACTGACGTGGCCTTACCTTATTTGCAGGTCTACATATTTGTATTAGTAGGCATTGTGCTTGCAGGAGCAGGATTAGGGTATTGGATGGTTAGAAAGTTTGTTGTTGCAAAAGATGGAAGTGTGGACCGTGGTGTAGCAGAGTTTGTTAAATGGGCTATTCGAGCGATTGCAACCACTTTTATCTTCCAGGTGTCGCATTTGTATCTATCTCATTGTATCTTCTTTCATTAGAACTTTGATATTTTTTTGGCATTGGTGAAGCCTCAGTATTTCCAAAATGTGAAAATGAGAAGAATTAACTTGGATAATTTTTTGTTGGTTTACAGAGCACACCTGATCCTCCATTAGCTTTGCTTACCGTGGTCTTATCGTACACCATATCCTTCCTTATCATGAAGTGGCTAAGGCAACCTAGGTACGTTCCCGCAAAATAGTTTCTGTATTTCCTGTCGTCTTTCCACTTTATAATCTAGTGGTAAGTCTTTCTGATTATATGTAGGTATGAGTCAGGGACGGCTGCAGGAAAGCAGGGCCGTGCTGAATTCTACAGCAGATCAGCTGCATCAGCAGCTAAAAAGAGCCCTGAAGGGAGAATGCCAGGTGCTTGGATGAACTCCCCAGTCAAAGGTATACACATTTTCCTCAGCTACTTGTACCATGGAACCAAGGTGTGCGTAATGGTTTTCATGTAATTTTTCCTGTTGTTTTGTTTTCACAGGTTTGGTGACATCACCATCTGCTGCTCGTGCGCAGCATGGCAGCACTGTGATGGACCAGGATTATTACTCGACCTTCCATAAAACAGCAAAGAGGAAGAAGTTCACAAAGGAAGAATGGGATGAGTTCACACGGGAGTCAACGAAGGAAGCAATGAGAGAATGGGCATCATCTCCTGAAGTGGCCAATTGGCTGATCAACAATGCTGACCGGATTCAACTCCTTCCAAGCGATTGCAGTTCGGGCGAAGAGGCATCTGGCACTGACAGTGAGACTGACTCAATTGAGGAGAATGGATCGAGTAACCAGGGTGGTAAAGGGCTTAGCTCTTTATTCAGCTGGTGAGGATAATAGAGAAAGGAGACTGTGGATCATGGCGACGATATTTGAGGTTTTTTCTGTTGCAGATTGTTGATCTGAAAAGAAATTCAAACACAGGTGAGTGGGTTGTTCATGTTTTCGTCCGCCCTCTACACTTGAGAGTAATCCTTTCTGATGTTGGATGAAGGTAACAGAGAAAGAAACATGACTATAGGAGAGGGCATTGAGCTAATTTCTTGTGGAGAAGCATTAACTAGGAGTAGGTAGGTATTGTTGGGGGATCTGAGTAGGAATAGATTGGTTTAGGTAACAGCTTTTTCTTGTGCATAGTATGATTTCTTTTGTACTTGAATCATGATGGAGAAAACTCACTGTTTTCCCTAAGCATGTATGAATTGTGATAGAGCCATACTAAATATTTTTTATAAGTCTTCGAGTTGAGTGTGATTGACAGTATGAAATTAAATGCATCGTTTCTGTTGATATTTTGACGAATTTGAGTGCATGGTTAAAAGGCTTAATTGCAAGTTTGGTCACTCCAATTGCTATTAAATTTCATGTTTGCCACTCGAATTGGTTTATTCCATTTATAGTCACTCGAATTGGTTGAACAGTCAAAGTTCGGTCACTCTCCGTTAACCTCTGTTAGACTCCGTTAATGTCTTAATGACGACCGTTAAGTGATGATGTGACTAACAGAAAATCACAGTCAGTATAATTTAACACTAATAAACAATGACCTGACCCGCCACGTCACATTTACCCGCCATGTCAGCTCTTCTTGCCCAACTCGCGAACCAACCCAATTAATTGACCCTAACCCAAAAACGGAACCCGACTCCCCTGAAAAGTAAATTGAAACAGAGAGGGTAGGGCACTTTCCCTTCCTCCATCGTCCTCTCATCCTCCAGTGCCACGTCTCTCCAGAAGCAGCCATCAAAAATCGCCGAAGAATGAGGATGGAGGCCGCCGCGCATCCTGGCAGATACTAATACGCAGAGACCTACTCCAACTCAGAGCAACCCCAATCAAGAATAAACAAAGACGAGGGGAAGTTGAAACAAAACAGACTAGGGAGATCCCAGAGCTCCGTCCGGTGGACGTCAACGACGTAAATCGAGTCAAATCGGACGGGCTTGTTAGTGACCTTTCGCTTCAGGTAGTACTGGAGCAGTTCCTCATCGGTGGGGTGGAACCGGAAACCAGGACCGAGAAAACTTGCCAAGTCGCCACGAGCCATCTACCGAGTCGAAGCAATTGGAGTAACCAGGAGCGAAATCGCGACGAAAAGCGTGCGTCTTGAGAAGAAAACTGAATCGATCACTGCGACCGTCGAGAAAAGAAACTGAAATGGACCCGTGGACCAAATTAGGGCAAGGGGAATCGACCGGAAAGCGGTTATATCAAACGTCTGCGACGGTGGTTGTTGGTGGCGGAAGCGTGAACGAGGATGAGAGGGGAAGTAGCCATTGTGTTGGTTCGGGTCTAGGTTTGGGTCAATTAATTGGGTTGCTTCGCAGGTTGGGCAAAAATGGCTGACTGGGCGGGTAAATATGACGTGGCGGGTCGGGTCGTCGTTTTTTAGTGTTAAAATATGCTAACTGTGATTTTCTGTTAGCCACGTCATCACTTAACGGTCGTCATTAATGGAGTCTAACGGAGGTTAACGGAGAGTGACCAAACTTGAACTGTTCAACTAATTTGAGTGACTATAAATGGAATAAATCAATTCGAGTGATAAACGTGAAATTTTATAGCAATTCGAGTGATCAAATTTGCAATTAACCATGGTTAAAATGGTTTGTCCATTTTGGCTCTATATATTTAGAAAATTGGCGGACGTGGCAGAATTGAAGACAGAATATATCCCTATGTCTCCCAACTCTCCACGTTCCACTGTCTGAGTGGTTCACAGAATCCACTTGCCTCCCCAAAATCCATTTCCATCACGGATTTCTGCATCCCTCAAAGCTTTCTCCACCACTTAATCCCCAACCCCACTCCCTCCCTCCCTCTTGACTCTGTCACTGTCCAGAAAACTTCAAACCCAGAAACTAAGAATCAAAGCTAACAACAACTCATGATTCAGAATTCCCCACGCCCACCCAATTTCCCCGCCATTCCATTTCTCTTTATTCTGCGCCCTTTCTTCTGGTTCTTCACAAACCATCTCTCTCTACCCACTTTGAGTCCCCGTTTCCATGGCGATTCCTTGTTCTCCTGACTGGTCACTAGTCGCTTCCTCTTCTTCACCTTCGCACATCACTTGCTCCACCAAACCCAAAAGCTTCCCACCATGTTCCAAACCCAAGAGCTTCTTCTCTTTCCGCCCAAACTCCAACTTCCATGTCAAATCTTCCTGCTTCCCATCTGCTCCAGTACTGGCAGCAGAAGAGAAAGAAGAAGTCGAAGAAGCACCACCAAATCTCCGTAGCAACCACTTCCGGCTTCCAAGAGAGTACACCCACCACCAGCAGCCCTACCCGGCTTCAGATGCAGAGAATCTCAACGCATTCCTTCGTGGGTTGCTTCACGATCCCAGAACCGAAGCCCTGGCTTGCGACCATTACAAGAAAGCCAAGGAAAACCCACGATTCAAGCCAGAGAAGTCCGTCGTCAAGCTTCTGGTGAAGTACCTGGTCCGGACCGAGAACTGGGATCGTTTGCTTCTGCTGCTTTCAGACGATTTCAGGAGGTACGGTACTCTCCCTGACGCTTACACTTGCTCTACATTGGTCGAGAACTGCATCCGAGCTAGGAAATTCAGAATTTGCGAACGGTTCCTCGCGATTTTCCAATCCAACCCTAAGGTCTCTGTTTTAGCTTTCAATTCCGCCGTGAAAGGTTACAACAAGCTGCACATGTACAGCAGCGCGATTCGATTGCATGGTAAAATGAAATCTTCTGGAATCGGTTTGAATTCTGGCTCCTATTACCAGGCAATGAAGGCACACCAGAAATTGGGCAATGTAGAGAAAGTGGTTGCCTTGTTTCACGAGTTTGAATCTGAAGAGCTCGACCCGAAACTAGAAGTGCTGACCAAAATTTACAGAGTATTGATTGAGTCATTAGCCAAATCAGGTAGAGCTTCGGAAGCTCTCGGTTACTTGAGAAGGAATAAGAAGCAAGATGGTTTGCTTGTAGAGGATCCCAAAATATACTCTTCGTTAATATGCTCATTTGCCGACTCCAATCAAGCTCGAGAAGCTGAAGAGCTATTTCATGAAGCGATAGAGAAGAATGCATTGCGAGACCCAGAGGCATTCTCGAAGCTCATCTCGATGTACATCGAGCGAGGCCAGGTAGAGAAGACACTCGACGTCGTCAGCACCATGAGCCACGATGCAAACCTCAAGGTTACCGATTGTGTGTTCTGCACGGTGCTGAACGGTTTCGCCAAAAGGAGAGGCTTTTCTGCTGCAATCAAAGTGTACGAGGAGATGACAACCAAAGGGTACGAGCCAGGACAGGTGACCTATGCATCAGCAATCAATGCATACTACCGTGTGGCAAACTATCGCAGAGCAGAGAAGGTGTTCGCAGAGATGCGCGAGAAGGGTTTCAACAGGTGCGTTGTGGCATACTCCACCGTGATTGCGATGTACGGGAAGATGGGTAGAGTTGGGGATGCAATGCGGCTGTTGGGGGAAATGAAGGAGAGGAAGTGCAAGCCCAACATTTGGGTGTACAATTGTTTGCTTGAGATGCACGGTAGGGCGATGAATGTGAGGCAGGTGGAGAAGATATGGAGTGAGATCAAGAGGAAGGGAGTCGGGCCCGACAAGGTGAGCTACACTAGCCTCGTGAGCGCGTACAACAAGGCCAAGGACTTCGACAAGTGTGTGGAGTATTTCGAGGAGTACAGGACGGTGATGAATGGTGATGGTGTGGATAGGAAGATGGGAGGGATAATGGTCGGGGTATTCTCAAAGATGAGTTTGATAGAGGAGATGGTGAAGCTGTTGAGAGACATGGAGTCGGTTGGGACTGGTTTGGATGCGAGGCTTTATGCGACGGCTTTGAATGCGTTGAGAGATGCTGGGCTCGAGTCGCAGTCAAAATGGTTGAAGGAGAGCTTTCAAGCTACTTGAGAGTAATACCCCTTTGATTTAGTCAGCTTTTTCACTCCAGAATCCCTGTTGTAGCTAGCACCTTATAGTGTATACTGTACAGAAATGTTGTATAGTGGCTCCTGTGATGATATAAATGGAAGATTTTTCTGTAATGATATCAGAGATTAACGAAGATCATCATTATTAGCTGACATAACAAAGGAGATACAGAGCCCAAAGATTGGGTTAACGTGCAGATGGTGCATGAGAAAACTCAGCAAATAGGAAAATAAATACTAAACATTGGCTCATAATGCAAGGGCAACCCTTTATTTGATACTCTTTTCCTTCTACAGCAAGCAACTAGCAATGCCGGCACTTCCGAAATAATGCAACCATGATTACTTCCAATGCAAGGCAGCCCCAGGCACCCAGCTGTGCTAGCTCATGGGAGGGTGAAGCCTGCACAGAAATGGTCACAATGTTAATCAGTCAGCCGCCAAACTTTGTTTTTAAACAAATTTGTCAAACCAATAGCTAACATTACCTCCACACTTCTTCCCGGCGGGGCGGTTGCGAATGTTGCAGCGTTTGGGGATGGTGATGGCGACCCCAGGATTAATTCCGGCCTGCTTGGCCAAGGGGGACAGCAGGACGGCGCAAAGGCACTTGGGAGCCGCCTTGATCAGCCCGCCAACTTTCGAGCAACACGCCGGCGGCACAGCTGCTCTGGCGTTCCGAGCAGCACTCAAGCACGGGCTCAGGCTAGCCGCTGCAGCCCTAATTGGTGTCTTCCCGCAGGCACTGCCGCCTCCGCCGCCTCGACGTCCCGCCGCTTCAACATTGATCATCATGTTAGCGTTAGAAAGGAACATAAGGGAGAGTATGGCAGCAGCAGCAAGCCAATTCGCTCTACCGGCAGCCATGATTAACGTGGTATGTAAGCAAACAGTTGATCTGAATGGTGTGTGGGCTCTGGAAATGAACAGATTGGGTAATGTAGTACTGTGTGTGCTAGCTAGTTGGGGAAGGAGGGTGTTTATATATAGTAGTGGAGGATTACTCACTGAAGAAGAGTTCATTTGGACACTTGGTAGAGAACTATTAGCAGTAGCAGCACCATGTATGAACGCGAGAACAGGGAGATGGCTGGCCTGGCTAGTGGGGTGGGTGGGTGGAAAAGAAAGAAGAGACCATAATGGAACCCTCCCATCATTTGATTGCGCAATTACTCTTCACTTTAGCTGCAGTTTTGACACGGCTGCACCCAGCTGCGCATGTGGTAATGAGTACCATGATTTGGTTGGTTGGTATTTCTGATGACTAATCTACAAACTAGCCTGCACCGGCTGCTTTCAATTTGTTCGTTGGATACCTTTATATACAAGCATCTGCCTATCTGAGATCGCGTCTTTCTGCTGCATTTTCTCACTGTCGACGGGTAAAAATTCAGCGTGGGAATACCTCATTAGTCATCATGTCTCAATTCAGTTCTAGCCTTTTTCTTTATCACTAGGAACAAGGAGCTGTCCACCTATAACTTGTTTAATGAAATCGAACTCATCCAAGTAGCTCACTTTGCCGAAAAATCACTACGTACAAAGTTCAAACCAAGTGCATATTGGGTAACATATGCCGAATTGCTGTCAAGACTGCACCAGCTTGAGCATCCCAAATCTCGCCTTCTCAATGACGGGTTGAGGGTCGCCGAATATCTGCACCAATTCATGACCCCACCGAGCAATTGAATCTCGCAATGCCAATATGTCGATCATGTACGGATCATTCATACCCTCCCCGATACCACGACGTTTCCTCGCAGCAACCGTCGCGCACCCATGGCATCCTGCAACATCATTCCCCATTGCGCCATGAGTCCCTTTCTGTGAGACAGAGATAAGGCATAAGAACATAAAACATTCTCTATGGTATAAGAACATAAAACAATAATTCCTACACACTAGTGACATCACAACATACCAACCAAACTTGGGGGATTGATACTCTGAACATACTATTGTTGTAAGATATCAATCCTAACCAAGCTTACAGATCCTGTTCTATTTAATTGCCATACTGTCGTGTAGTAAAAACAACAAAACACAGAGACCAAATCAACAGAACTTTCACGTTCAAGCACATCTCAAGTTCTTTCCTTGGACTTTAAAATCTATCTAACTTGGTTAGTTCCTTCCAAATATCACCTCGCTCAAATTCAATCCACTTTGTCTACGTCCAATTCCACTAAAAGACAACATTTAAATCTAAATAGAATCATAGAATATGCTGAGCACCGGCCTAATGTATATAATAAATTCTTCAAGGATTCATCTGTTCAGATAAAGTGAAAGCATATCTTTAGACACATTGATTTTGATTGATAAATCTTACTAGTTAAACAGGATAAAAGAACTTACTTCTGGACTTCTGGTATAGAAAATGTCATGTTCTTCCTCTTTACTCACTTCTAGAGATGCAGGCACAGGTCATTGTTTCACCTACTGTAAACACCCTTCTAGCATCTGAGGGCCGTTACATTTAACTGCAAACAGCTTATTAAAGCGGACAAATCAAAAGCAAATAAGTTTCGATCAAACATCTGATTTAGAAGTAAATAATTACTTCTAGAAATTAGATTGCTTGAGTGGCGAGAACCTCTAAAGCAGAGCTGAAATCCGGTTGAATAGCTTCCACTTCACATACTGCATAACCCATGTGTACCTGACGACCAGACCTGATGGCCAAACAACCACAGGGCGCTTGGCCAAAAAAAGAAATTGGTCCTGGTGCCGATCCCATCTTGGGGGGCCATTGTCGACGCCTGCTTTGGGTATATAGTTGATTGAGGGCATGTGAGAGCTCCTTAATGAGACCCTTTCTAGACCACACCATCCACACGAACCACCAAAGCACGCCACTCATCACCCCATCCCAGACCCGCTGCATCCTCCACACGTGGCTTAGTTGCCCTAACGTCACCCTGGAGCTCAAGGAGCTCCTCCGCCTGATGCCAACAACTAACCTCCGATGCTTCAACCTGCCACTGAGTCAGCTCAAAATCAACTAGATTCTGAGATTTCCAGAGCGCCAGAATACAAACATAACCCACAGGGCTGTCCTACTCCCCAGTTACAATTTATGCATATAGATTAGCTGTTAGAAAACAATTTGCTTTCACTTCTCTAATGTAACCATGTAAACCAGATCCCTATAGTTCTTAAAATAACATAAGAACTAACTTGGGAAATCAAGCAAGATATTAACCACCACAAAGATTCCCTCATTCCGGAACACATTTCTGAAATCTTGTCTTTGTCTCCATGAAGTTGCCCATTCTACATACAAGAACCTTCAAACAAAGAAGACAAATGAAAGAGCAATACATGCAAGAGACCTCAATAACATATACACATATGAAAGAAGTAATCATTAGACTAGATTTAGAGTATATCACACGATCAAGTATACTTGTATCTCACTGGCTTACTTACTGTTTTCACAAGAGTCACAAACAGATTTTGACTGCAGCATCCTGGTTTGCCTCCTCAACCTCAAGTTAGTTATGTAAGGTAAATGCTCCTTGGAGAATCTACACTGCTGTAACCTGGAGTCTTCTTCAAATTTCTCTGGCTCATCAAGTTTCTGATCTTGCAATTCTTATGCCATAGGCCAGCTGTAGCATATATATTCCCCAAGACTGTATAATTGACTGAAATATCTGGATTCAGATTAATGAGATGCATAGCTACAGTCTCAGCAAGGACGACGTTACCATATGAAAAGCATCCCCCAAGAATAGCACCCCACAATGAGGAATTCGGTGTAATATTGTTCCTACAAATTATACTGTACGCTTCTTCTAACTGCCCTACACGGGCAAAGAGATCAACCACACAAGAGTAGTGCTCAGCTCGCGGAAGGATATTGTGCCTGTTGATCATGCTATTGAAGAATTCTAATGCTTCCTTATTTAATCCAGAATGACTGCAAGCAAAGAGACCAGACAAAAAAGTAATGTCGTTCGGCACTAAACCTTCATCTTCCATCTCCTTACACAATGAAATTGCCTTGCTTCCATATCCATGTTTTCCATACCCACTAATCAGCGATGTCCATGATATGACATTTTTCTCCCTCATCTCACCAAAAGCACGGTCAGCATCTTCAATTTCTCCCGACTTTGCATACATATCAATGAGAGAATTTCCTACCGCCACATCATAACTGGGTTTATTTTTAACAGCAAAGGCATGAAGCTGTCTCCCTATGGTTAATGATGCTGCATTAGCACAAATATTGAGCACAGAGCATAGCATGACGTCATCAATTTTCATGTGCTGCATCCTACGCATCTCATTGAAGAGATTCATAGCATCTGTTCTATAGTTGTTTCGAGCGAATCCATTCATCAACGCTGTGCAAGATGTTATATCTTTCACTTCCATAGTCTTGTACAAGCAATTAGCACTCTCTAGGCCCCCACATCTTGCATAGGCATCGATAATTGATCGAAGCAAATCAAGGTTCCCTTCAAAACCTAGTTTCTCAACGAATCCATGTAGCTTACTGACTTTGAGGAAATCACTAGTTCTTCCAGACACCTTCAAAAGACTTCCTAAAGTGAAGCAATCAGGTAGCAAACCTATTGGATGGCAAGTCAGTATAATAGATTAGATTTGGCTTGGAAGGCCATACATTTATGTCAAATAGTATCAACGCGATTGCAACAAAATCACTGGCAAATATAGCATTCATACCTTTTGTCATCATGGCATGAAACAGTCGAAAATAATCATCACCAAGACCCTGAACAGCATACCCACCAATCATTGCATTCCAAGAAACCACATCTGTGTCAAGCATTGTCTCAAACAAATAACAAGCATCTTCCATACTTCCGCATTTAGAATGCAAATCAATCAATGCACTTTGCACAAACAAATTGCTGAAAAACCTACTCTTCTGTACACAACTCTGTATTTGCAGCCCTCTCTTGAAACATTGCAAACGAGAAGACGCCCTTAGCACACTACCATAAGTAAACTGATTGGCCTTGACCCCCACTCTATGCATTTCTGAAAACAGCAGCAGAGCATCTTCATAACACTCATTTTGTCCATAACCTGAAATCTGAGCCGTCCAGCACACAACATTCCTTACAGTCATTCTATCAAACACTTTCCGACCAGCCCTGGCATCACCAACCTTTGCGTAGAAGGTGATTAATTTGCTGTTTGAATGGGGATTTGAGACAAACCCACTTGTTATCATATGAGAGTGAGCAACAAGGCCATGCTTTCTAGCTCCTCGCACGATGCAACGTTGCCAAATTTTGCCATAGTCAAAGGAGTCGGCAGCTTGTTGGAGCAAACGTCTTGTGCAAAAACAACGCACATTCTTTGGCTTCAAAGCTCCAAAGTGGTGTGCGTCCATAAAGTAGCTAAGTACTTTCATGAGCAAAATCATCTTCCTAGTCCTTTGGGCTAAACCAGAAACCGGACAGATATGAGTCAGCAGAGTTAGGGGAAAATGGAAGACAAAAAATATCAACTGCTCATACCTATATTGTCTGAAAATTCTCACAGAAATCAGAGGGCAGCAGCACATTTGTCAATTAAAGAGCTGTAAGCTTATTAAAACCCACAAACCACAATGGTTGTCTATTCGCAATGCCTAAGACTCAGCAGGTTCAGTTGATTCTGACTATCACGAGCAGCAAATACAGGCATGAACTCCTGGAGATCTCTTTGAGAAAGATAAGAGAACGATTTCATCAATCTCATTCCCATTGCAGGACCTTAATCCAGGAAACGAAAGCACAAACTTTGTTATTGGGCCATAATGGAGCAGGATAGCTTAGAATAATGTTGAACAATAACTTGTTCGTCATGCCAGCTGATTTAGATCCACCCGATTCAGTGGCAAAGCTACGATCAAACACAAGTTCGGGAAAACTTCTCCAATAACGCCTCCACTTTGTTGACAATATGCTAGTTTTAACAGCATCTTTGATGGGTAGCAACAGCAAAATCCGATGTACCACGTCAGCAGAAAGGTTGGTAATTTTATCGGCACTCGGTTCACACACCCGCTTCATCCTTCCACTGCCAACATATATATTCTACACAAATATCCAAACAATTAACCCCTAACCAACCGGTGATACCATGAACCATCGACATATCTAGCTTCTCGATTCTGCAGGTAGTGCATAAATTGGAGGTATCAAAAAGTAGTACATAGATGGGGAATCACCTTTTCCACGAAGGGTTATCTTCTGCAACAGCCGAAAGGTTGAAACCACCAATGCCCTGAAAAATTTCAGTGTTTCTTTACTATTACAGAGCTAGGGAGTGAACTAGAACGGGTTGGAGTAACACGTCTCGGCGGTCGATTTAGGGGTTGATGAAACCTTCCTTTCTCCCGCCATTTCAGAGTAAGGATTGTTACTCTGTCATCTCTCATATCGACGTAGAACGGAGGAAAGGATGTGTGGGGGATGGATCGATCATAGATAGAATGGTTTCGGGCTTGGACGAAGTTATGGGCTTATGGCCTCTATTGATTGATGTTACGGGCCTGAGCCCATTTGGTTCAATGCAGATCAAAGGGGAATGATGGATCAGGTGCCTCGCTGGGGTTCTTTTTGGTTTTTTTTTATCGACGCTTGGGTTCTTTTAGTGTGGCAATCAACACGTCACCTATAGTACCCCGTCCCTCTCTATAATATACTAGCTTTTTATCCGGCCTGTTGGCCGGTGAGTTTAATTTTACCATTTACATTAATCAATTTATCTATATGTTTAAACTATTTTGGATCTTCTAAATTTTTTACATTTGATTCTTTGGTGAGTATGTGGTGCATCTATAAATTAAAAATTCTCAATACTTAGCACATTCACTTATGGTGCTTCGATTCACTGATCATAAATCATGTCACAAAGATATATCACGTCCCATCTAGAATCTTATGTCAAGATTTGTCAATAACAATACTCAATTTTTTTGTCTTATACAATATATGCCATTCAATGAATATCGAGTTTGGACGAACTCTCAACCAATGATGTTGCTCAGATGACGACAATTTAGTTAGAATTTTTTTATAAAGGTACTTCAATATTACATAAATTTGGTCATCCCAATTGAAATTTTACTGTCTTAGTGTAAGATCATATTTGTCTATCAAGACACTCAATTTAATATCTTATACAATATGTACCAATTGTTAATTCTTGAAGTTTAATATAGACTCGCCCTCAACTCATGGTCGTTGTTTAGATGTTGGTTTAGAATCTCGGTCCAAGATACTCACACATTGTTGAGGGTTCTAATCTTAACATGGTCCATTGTTGTATAATTTTCTAACTTATCAAATATGCATTTGCTAAAATTTATTTATCTTTGGTGTTTGTTTTGAGATAAAAAAAAATCCACTACTTATACTAATATCTTCATTTTGTTGGTGTAATGCCACATCTATTGTCAATATCTAAGCATGATTTTATACTCTAAGTAAGAAAACGCTATCTGGACCACGAATTAACGGGATTTGTGGGCATGATACTATACCCTAACCCTTGATGAGTGAACCCTAGGTCTTAGTTATATAAATCATAGAGCTTAACCCCTAAGATTGTGCATGTAATTTGTTGCATAGATTTTAACGAATCATGACCATTGATTTTTGTATATAATTAAATTGATCTTAGGTATAAGATTTATAAATTTAAGACCTAGATTTTAATCTTTAAGGTTTTGAGAATAATACCATATGCAACTCTGGTCAATTCAAAGTCTAGATATCATTTTCTTACTCGAGGTATGTCATAATATACATATATAAATATAAAGAGTTTAATGTATTTTTACGTGTAATTAACACCTTTGTTTGACCGAAATATGTAAACTGTTAAGAAAAATAAGGGAAAGTATGAACAAATGTAAGAGAAAATAACGTATGGAAGCATCATTATAAGAGAGAAGAAACGTTGTCTTTCTTTATCATCTTCATTTGTACAATCAGGTACTATATTATGGCTTCGTCAAGTTTCTATCAAAATGAAAAAAATAACTTTTGAAGCATTTTGCTATTTAATACTTGTTTTCATTAATAGATACAAACATTAGAAAAAGATAGCATTTGATAATCAAAACATAAAATTATATAGTTGATTTTTCAAATTCAATTGATTATTATATGTTGATTATCTAAACTTTCTTCATTATATATATTTTTTAATTTTTATTACTTATCTGCGTGTTTAATTTATTTTTTATAGAAATATAACATTTATAAAGTTCTAATAAAAAGAAAAAGAAAAATTAATTGATCAGATTTAATCAAATTTTTTTTAAGCATTACAATATATGTCACTCTCCAAACATAAGTATACTGCTGTTACACATATATATTGAAAAATACTGTTATTGAATAAAAAAAGAAAACATTAAAAGAAGATAGAGATAACTACATCAATGATCATTAAAATAAAAAGAAAATATTAAAAAAAGATAGATAGCTCTACATTAATTGATCATTAACTAAATTTTTTGTTTGTAAAAAAAGTGTCCACCATGGCACCTTGTATAATCTCCAAATGCTTATGTGGCAACAAACTACTTTTGAATTGCTATAATATTATGTATAGATATTTTTTAATTTTTATTACTTATCTGCGTGTTTAATTTATTTTTTATAGAAATATAACATTTATTAAGTTCTAATAAAAAGAAAAAGAAAAATTAATTGATCAGATTTAATCAAATATTTTTTTTGAAGCATTACAATATATGTCACTCTCCAAACATAATTATACTGCTGTTACACATATATATTGAAAAATACTGTTATTGAATAAAAAAAAGAAAACATTAAAAGAAGATAGAGATAACTACATCAATGATCATTAAAATAAAAAGAAAATATTAAAAATAGATAGATAGCTCTACATTAATTGATCATTAACTAAATTTTTTGTTTGTAAAAAAAGTGTCCACCATGGCACCTTGTAAATTCTCCAAATGCTTATGTGGCAACAAACTACTTTTGAATTGCTATAATATTATGTATAGATAGATAGACAGATAGATAGAAGACTAGCACAGGACCCGGCAGTTGGTCGGAAGAATTTTGTCGAAAAATATTAATATAATAATTGATATAATAGATGATTTGAAATGCATGAAATGATTGTTTTCTATCTTAGTTATGCACATAACTTTTTTGAAAGTGATCGAACTATGCAGAATATGTTTAGACTCTAGACCTCAATGAAAAGAGAAAAAAAATATAATATAAGCATTACATATAATTATTGAATGAAAAAAATATATAACTAATTGTCATTCAATACTTAATTAAATCATATAGTTGAATATTAGAGTTGCTTCTCATAATACATAAATAATCAAACTTTAGGATGAAAGAAAATGCATCATAGAGTTTGTTATGTCCTTTAAGTTTTTACCAATAGAGAACATTCGTTTTTATCACACTATTGGTAATGAATATGAAGTTGTTTGATTTGAAATATATAAGACATGATGCTAAGCTAAAGTTGTCATTAATAATTAGTTGGACAATGTGTTGTGTACGGACTTCCCAAATTATTCTCAGATCGCAGACATGTCTAACAACAAAGTAGTAATTTTCATGCAGCAAATATTTTGTTCTTGAAATAATTCAATAAATAAAAATGTAAGAAAATAATATTACTTGAAATATATGTTACTCATTAAGTTGATGAATGAGCGAGGGTATGAGTAGCATACATTTATTTTAAAAAGATAGAAGTTGCAAAGTGTCTTTTGGGTTGCATGAGATCGCATATTCTCATTATCACTATCTGACTTATGCTTCTTTTTTTTTTTACAATAGATTGTTCAAAATGTGCCTTAAAACTTTTGTTTCCATCAGAGTAAAAGAATTGTTTGGATTGTAAAATCGTATAGAAAAATTTGGTAGTAGAGTATTTTATACTGAAGTCATAATTTAACTGTGGTTCAACCGTTTTATGGTCTAACCGCCGGTACATACGATCTTTCACTCTCTCTTTGTCTTCCTCTTTGTTTTTCCATTTGTTCTTTCATCTCTCTCCCGACTTTGTATCTCACAACTCACCCCATTTTCCCTTCCTCTTTCTTCCCACCGCTTGGAATCGATAGAAACCTATAAACATCCCAATTATTTCTCCAATTTTGCGTTTGAAATGCTTCTTCTCGATTCACAATCAATAGTGTGAATCAGAGAACCTGAAACCTGGCGAATGATGGTCGCTTATTCATCGATGGAGCAAAATAGTTTGATAGATTGTGAATAAACTAATTATCAAAAGTGATAAAAAGCAGAACTCGTTAAACCAATCGAGTGAGTGTATGATTAGCTCGTCGCTTAAAGCCTTAAACCATTGTATTTATCTAAAGAATCAAATGCATAATCAGGTTCATTTTCACTTTACATGTATTTGTCGTACAAATTCATTACGCATAAAAAAAGGTTTTGAACTGAAGTCATATTAAACTAAATCTCATCTTATGATTATTGGATCCATGTCATATTAGCAAAAGGTCTAAGACTATTGGTCAACCGGACTGAAAATTAATACTAATTTAAGAATTATATATCGCTTCCAAAATGTTCAATACTCCAAATCAATATGCAATATTCAAAGAAATTATATATGAGTTTCAACCCTTGCTCAAATTTTTTAGACAAAAAAATCCCCCCCCCCTCCCCCCTCACACACATTTGCAAAGAAATACTTAAATCCCAATTTCTTTTTCATTTTACTTGCTTCTAAAGTTATTGTTGACGTTGTTTGTTATTACTGCAAGCTGTAAAAAAGACTTTTCAGCTATGAAGTTAATCAAGAATGATTTTATAAATGAATTTTTTAGTTGTATACATTAAAAGGTTGGGTATGCCTACTATGACATGCATGTCATCGTGACATGGACTTTTCGGTCGACCTAATCCTAGAGGCGGTCGACCGAATTGACTAATTTGGGCAGCACGAGAAAGCATTGCGGTCGACCTCAAAGACCACCTGGTCGACCGTTCTTAGTTTAAGTTGTTATTTTTGGTTAACCAGAATAAACCTCGGTCGGCCATTTCGTTGGCGTCAGAAACAACATGGTCGACCGTAAAGGTATATAGGTCGACCATTTGATGGCAGTCATTAACAACATGGTCGACCAGATAAAGAAAGAGGTCGACCAGATAGACGATAAGTGTTCTATCAATTTATCCAATCATTTGACATAAAATGAAGATCAAGTGTTGGTGTCGAGGTCGAACTAATCCGGTACGAGGTCGACCGAATACAATAAAGTCAACCTATGCCCCGTGTCTTTTTTGCTTATGTATGTCGATTTGTGTGGTTCTTTTGCTCGTCTAAATTACGCTTTAAACCATCATAACTAGTCATAAATAATGATAATAAGGACTCATCAATTATGCTATGAATTGAGGTCGACCGCAATGCTTTCTCGTGCTGCCCAAATTAGTCAATTCGGTCGACCGAAAAGGTTTGAATCTCAAAATAAACAATGAATGTATTTTTATAAACCTTTTAGAATATGAGCCGTCACACGTTGATGTGAGAAACTACTAATTAATCAAAATTTTATATGTTATTTTTAGAATATTTTGTTTTATTTTTTATCGAATGACGCATTTCTTCATTAAAAATGTGTTCACCAATATAGGTTATGTGGTGCTCGCACTTGTGCGAGAGCCCTTGAAGTTTAATTCTGATACGACCCATGAAGCATTCATGCTTGTACATGGTCGATCCATATACATTGTCTTCATGGTATGCTCTAACTGTGTCGTTCTAGCTCGACCATGTGCTTAGGTATAGTTATATGCATTATAATAATTAAGTTTCTACCTATTCACAAAACCACAATAAAAATAGTCATAAATGCACTCAGTATACGATTTTGACTACCTGATGAAATACTACATTTGAATAAATTACAACTGATATCACAAATAATAATTATATCTCTAAATCATACATAAAATATTTCAAACATTGCAAATATTAAGATTAAATTAATTATTATAATGAGTAAAAATTGTATAATGAGGTTAATTATAACTCATTTATATGTTCATGCCCTATAAATTGATCAACACATCCGATCCAAAACTAACGAAACGAACATCACATTAAACTCTATATCCTCTCATTATTGTCGGGACCATTCATGCCCGTTTAGCAAGAGTTTAACGTTTAGCAGTTAGCCAGGCTAAAATTTTAGAGAACTAGTCACCTATAGTTTGTACAAAATATTATTGTTTCGTATTAGTTCTGAAAATTCATATTAATTTAAAGAATTCTACCTCGCTTTTGCATATTCAATACTGCAGTTAGATATGCAATATTTCAAGCAATAAAATTTATGTTGCAATTTTAAGATTACCCGTCATTTTATAGGTTTATAAAAATTATAAATCACATATTAAACTTTGCTTTTAAGAAGATTTTGTTGCTTAGTTAGCAATTGAAATCCATAGGCAAAGCGCTTTGGTTTGAACTTTTTTTTTTACTGGCATCTGTAGTAATTTTATTAATCAGAAACCATGTTCGTGAGCTGGTTTGAACTTTGAAGGCTCGAGAACGCAACTTGTCTCTAATGAAAATTCGAGGACATTATTCTGTTTGGACTTAATCAAAATGTTCTATTTACCTTCCAATCTCATTATAATATGAAATTTTTGTTTCCCCTTCAAATAGTGGAATCCATTTCCCCCTTGCTCGTGGATCGTGTGCATACCTAATGCATTGTTAGTGAAGGTGAACCATGTTAAATTTAGTCTTGATTACCTCCGTCACAACAACTTTGGATCATGTTACCAGCTTTTGTTAATCCATACTAATATATGTGCAATTGAATATCATAGATTACTAAGCCATATATCAAAATTATACTTAGAGGTCGTTTGGGATGAAAGACAGAACGCTTGATTGCAGTGGAGAAGCTAGAAATCTGAAAAATGGGAGCTAAAAAATATACGTTTGTGGGATTTGAATCATGCCATTGTTGAGAAGGGTTAGAACCTTACCAACCAATCTATTTTTCTAATATGTTCGCAAATTTTACACGTAAATTGACAACCATTTGAAAGTTGAGTGTCTAATCCTCTCATGGACTAACATAGCTCCATCGTTGTTAAATTGTGTTTAAATACCATTAAATCAAACAATTTAATAGATTTTACTAAGTACTATCTAGATGTATGAAGCTAAGAAGTTAAATTCATGAAATTCTAAGTTGTTAAATTGTGTTTAAATACCATTAAATCAAATGATTTAATAGATTTTACTAAATACTATCTAGATGTATGAAGCTAAGAAGTTAAATTCATGAAATTCTAAATTCTTCTGTCCCTAAATATTTTTATCAATTTCATTACTCGAAATGACAAACAAACACAATTCCTTCTCTAAAATGATCAATCCAATCAATAATCGTATAGTGATTCCACCGATAAGATACAATCGACTATCATATTACGTGGTATCTCGTAGTATTATATAGCATACTACATCATAATAAACCATATTGGTTATATAATTGAAAATCATAACCTTAAGGCCTTAACTGATAAGAGCTAAGCATTGGCTTCATAGCGTGAGTCAATGGATACCCAAACAAAATTAAGCTAGAACATTACATAAAAAAGCCACCTGAGAGCATTGTATTACATACACCTCGGTCATTTTGATTCATATATAACCACTGCTTCTTTAGAAATACGCTTATATTTCATTATTTCTTTCATGAACGCGATTATCTTTTCAGAGGTTAATTTATGCAAAGGCGGAATGTGAACCCTCTCAAGTACTGGACCGGTGGCTAACACAAACTTCACGAGGTCAAGCTCGACCTTCGTACCAAGGCACTCCTCCATTTTAAACACTCTAAGCTGCTGCAGAAAACGATTACCGGATCCTGGGCGGTACTCTGCTTCCAACAGGCTTCCTATGCTTGTTGTTGCTGCGCTATCTGTGGGCTGATATGACTGACTTCTGTGCAGCTACAAGAGCATTTGCCATTTACTCAAGTTAGGCCAAAGACCACAATTACCCAAATATAGAACTTATCAGTAGCCGGCAACACAAACTAACCTTAATCGTTAGCTCACGCAAGTTGGGGGAACTGATGATCAGACAAACAAAAAAATGCGCCGCCTTCAAGATACTAAAGTCAAGATTCCTGGTATGGAGGAGTTCTAACCGGTGAAGAGGAGTAGGAAGCCTACTGGGGAAATCACTATCACCTACAGCAAGGTGCTAATTCAGAGACAAACCCAAATGAGTACCAGAAAGAAGCCGAAAGAATGGGAAAAGACTATAAGAGCGAGAGCGAACAAACAAACTTACTTGTGGGAGTCCAAAGTCGACAGAAAATTTTTGGAGTGCTGGGAGAGAAGCAAGTAAAGCTACCATATCTGCAGTGTTCTCCAAGTTTCTGCATAGTCTAAAACCAACTAAATATAAAACAGGAGTACACTTGAAGCAGATTTTCTGTAAATCCCTGTACGTGAAACAGAACCGTTCGAGGCATGGAGCCACAATGTTAAGATTACTCAGACCATCACAATCTATAAGCCTCAAGTCTTTAAGCATCGGGCACTTTACAAGGAAATTCTCACAGAAATCAGAGGGCAGAGTTACATCTGACAGTAAGAGAACCGTTAGCTTACTAAAACCCACAAACCACGACGGTTGTCTAAATTCGCAATGCTCAAGTCCCAGTCGGTTCAGTTGAAGACAAGAAAACAAGGAAGAATGTAACTTGTATTTATGACTGACTATCACCAGCTGCGCAGGAAAGCATGAACTCCTGCAGATCTCCGTGAGAAAGATAGACAACGATTTCATCAATCTCATTCCCTTAGCAGGACTTCAAACCGGGACACGAAAGCACAAATTTTTTAATCGGGCCATCATGGAGCAGCAGAGCTTTGAAAATGTTGAACATAGACTTGTTCATCATGTCAGCTGATATAGATCCACACGATCCAATGCCGAACCTACGATCAAACACAAGTTTGGGAATGCTTCTCCAATGATGCCTCCACCTTGTTGACAATGTACTAGTTTTGGCAGCATGTTTGATTGGTAAAAACATCAAAATCTGCTGTATGACATTAACAGGAAGGTTGGTAATTCTATCGGCACTCGATCCGCACACCCGCTTCATCCTTTCACTGCCTATATATATTCTACACAAAAATCCGAACAATTAACCCCCAGCCAACCGGTGATACCATGAACTGTCGACATACCTAGCTTCTCAATTCTGCAAGTAGTACATAGATTGGTAATTACCTTTTCGACGAAGGGTTGTCTGCAAGACCCGAAAGGTTGAAGCCGCCAACGCTCTGAATCTTTTCGGTTGTTATACTGAGCTAGGGCGTGAGTTAGAACGGCTTGGAGGAAGACGTCTCGACGGTCAATTTTTCGTGTTGATGACCAAAAAAGTCTAGATTGCATAACCTTGCATAATTTGATTTGGGTTTTTGATTTGAAGTTGGGCCTATTTAACAAATGAAAATAAAATTATTTTTTATTTTTCATAATTTTCTTAATTTGCTTTTATCTTCATTCGTTACAAATTAGATTTCAATTTTTTTTTTCTCAAATGCAACTGGTTTATTCTGATCCAGATTGGCAGCTTGTATTGACACTCAACTTTCCATCGCTGGCTACTGCATCTACCTTCACAACTCACTTGTTCCTTGGAAGAGCAAGAAGCAACATACAATATCTCGATCTTCTTGTGAAGAAGAATATCGAGCTTCGGCTCAAACCAACTGTGAGATCCAGTGGCTCATGTACCTTATGCTTCATGGTTCCCCACTCTCAACCAGCTAGCCTCTACCGTGATAAACAATCTGCCTTCCATATTGTAGAGAATCCCACCTTTCATAAACGTACCAAACACATCGAGATTGGTTGTCACTTTGGTCGCGAAAACCTCAAGCTGACGTCATCAAAGTTCTTCATGTGTCCTCTCATCAGTTGGCCGACATTCTAACAAAGTTACTGCCTCCTATGACTTTTTCTCACCTTCTCCCCAAGCATGGTGTTCACAAACTGTGCCCACCAGCTTGCAGCGGCGCGGGTGGAGAGGTGGGTGGGGGCTTACAAGTGAATTGAAAAATTCTTCTTTCACTGGACTCGAATGACACGTCCCGTCTCTTTTCAAAAATCAAACCATAACTCAAACCAAAAACCGGTTACTCCAGAGCAACCCAAACCACATTTTAAAATAACAAACCGACATCATTTAAGAATTTTTAACGAAAAGCCCCAACACTTGGGCAAAACTCTCAATCTCAATCACTTAAAACGACTTAACACAGAATCTCCAGTTTATACTAATAACCATGAAGCATAACAATTAACTAATCTAACTTGACTCCTCACGAGCTTTCCGATATCCCGTCGACGCTAGTACTACTGCTCGCCTCGTCCTGCTTCTTCCGCGATCCACTTCTACTAGACTATCCTCAACCTGGTGAGTGAGAAGGGGTCAGTCTCGTCGTTACTTCCTAAGATCTTTTTCCCTAGGCAAACTTCCTACTAACACGTTATTAGAGTTTCCTGCCTAGCACGAAAGCCATTCTCGCTTTCTGCTCTTCAATAATCATCCTTACTAAAACACATTATTAGAGTTTCATTCCCTTAGATGAAAGTCGTTCTCACTTTCCTCCTTCATACTTTACTATCAAACAGTCTATAAGAGATCTCTACTCCTGTCTTATCTTTAGAATTCCCTTACTTAGGTTCTTAATAACTCCTTTCAACTTTAACTCATAGAGGTTCTCAACTTTTATCCTTAACTCAAACACAAAACACTAGGACCACCGCGTTACATCTTGTCGTTCGGTGTCCTACCCTAGTATGCCAACCGCGTTACGTCTCGTCGTCCGATTGCATACCCAAACTTGGCAATGGCACTGCGTTATGTCTCGCCGTCCAGTCCATGCCCGTCAACTACTGCGTTACGTCTCACTGTCCAGTAGTGACCCCAACATACTCGATCAACTGTTGCGTTACGTCTCGCCGTCCAGCAGTGACCCGACCATCTACCGCGTCTAGTAGTGGCCCAACCGCTCAGGGGTTCCTCTTACCATTAACCAACTATTACAATTATACATCCATACATTCATACATAGCACAACGCGTGCCTCCACCCTTACAGGCGGTGAGATGCCTCACACACATATCGCGCATACTAAAAAAATTAAATAAATAATAACTTGAACGAAAAGCATAAACTGAAAGACATACGACATAGATTTTACCCCCTTTACACTCACCTCATTAGTCGCATCAACGTCTGCCTTCTCAAGCTCAAGCCCCGCGCGTTTTTCCTCTTTTGGCTCCTCCTCTATCGGTTCATCGTCTTCCTCTTCAATGACCCTAACCATTGGAGCTCCGCCGCCACTCTCTTCAAGGTCCCTCCTCGGGCCACAATTCGGCGGCCAACTTCGAACTGCCGACACCCCGGTCGTCTGTGAGGGTAGGGTCGGGGCCTCTCCATCACTTTACCCCGCCACTTGCGATCACCGATGTCGAGTTCTCGGCCTTCCTTGCGCCTCTAATAGACGCGGCTCTTCCCCTCCTACTAATTGGTGTGAACCTCTTCATCACGCGAGACTACGAAGTTCGATCGGCTGCTAACTTTCTCGCCTTCTTTCCCTCTTTAGCCGGATTATCCCAGGAAACCTATTAATAAGACATTCATACTCTAAGACATCCTTTCTCGATTTAAAAGCTTCCTTTTTATCTACCCAGACACCCTCTACTCAAAGTCCCATTCTCAAACCTCACTCCAAAGGTCCTTTAACCCCCACTAAAATTTTCTAGAATTAATCCCTTCAAAAATGACCATTTTTCTTAATTATTTTAGTCTTGGACGAATTTTTCACCTAACTAGAACCTTCTTAAAAAATTCGGAGAATAATTTTCCTACATCAATCATGAGTACTTATACCCTAGAAAATTATCAAACCCTTATAAACTCCTTGGAAATATTTTTATTCAATTAAAACAAGTGTTAGAACACTTTCTAAAAATAGAAATACATCTTCAAAAATCCCCAAATTAAATTACAGTCATCTCCTAGACCTCCTTCAATTTATAAAATTATTAAACCCATGAACAAACACCCATAGAGATTCGAAACAATTTAAAACATCTAAAACGAGTTTCTGAAAATTCTCCGCAGCTTTAGTGACCACCCAAATTCTGTCACTAAAAGTCTGAACGTCTGTTGCTAAAACCTCATAATTGCACCCTCACGAAAAATCACCAAATCGGTCGATCTAACTCAAAGAGATCGAGTTCCCTTACCTCTAGAACGTGCCTAGGCCTAAGTTGGATGACCCGGAACGTTGATCTCCTTGTTGATCGAACTCTCAACACCACCGCTAATGCTAGAGACACGAGAGAGATGAGCTGCGTAATCCGGGTCGGGATCGGGCACAGAGGTAGCGCTCCCTCTTCCCCTTTCTTCTTCTTATTCTCGCACAACAATAGTGTACTCCAACCCCCGCTTTACTCCTCGCCAACTGCTGTCGCTACTGCTATCTCGTTCGCAAGGGAGAGAGAGAAGGGCGGGGGAAATTTTTGGGGTGGAGGGAATTGGTTTGTGCGACGTTTGGGCTGGGGGAAACTATTAGCGAGGGTTTTTTATTTTTTGGGATGGGATGGAGGCGCCGACCTCCTTGGGCCGCGCCTTTTCTTTTTTTCTAATATAATAATAATTATAGTAATAACAATAATAATTATTATTATTCCTAATACGCGATTATAATTCTTAGTACGTAATTGTCAATCCAACCAATCACGTATTAAGGTCGGACCTAAATCTAAAATACCGGGGTGTTACATCGAACCCGCGTTGATTGCTACCCTTACAACAAATCTGAATCATGATACTAGTATGTCATACGATCATATTACTTGGCATATCGATACACTTGAACATCATAACAATTTCAAAACCAAACATCAAAAGCAGACTTGGTTATGCTAGGTTATACTAGCCTTTGCCCTTTGCTATGGTAGGTGACTTCTGATAGAAACACGATTTACTCGGGTTCAAATTTTTATCATCATCAATATTATTAGGATTTTATTAATATGATTAGTAGTGTTTTAGTAGAATTAGGTTTATTATTAGAGTTTCCAGTCCTATACATATATGATATATGTATTCTGGGTCTTTCGTCAGAAGAAGCAAAAAATAATAAAAGAATTATCTTCCTAAATCTCTCTTTTCTCTCTAATTAGGCCGCCGGTCATTCTAGCTTTTTCTTCCCTAATCTTCCCAAAATCCAAATCTCAATCTCTAATTCTGTTCGTATAAATCCTAACCCCAAAATATCAAAACCGATAGGAACTTCGTTTCTATCAACTTCTACATAACTACATTAGCATACAATTGGCTTCCATACCAAGTGGTAGCTCATAAGATTAAGGACCACACTGCAACATGATAAGTGGTAGCGGATTTATTCACCTCCACAAAATGAAGTTTAGCCTTCTGTTTTCACTGATTGCTGCCAACAGATCAACCCAACAGTAAAATGAAAATATCAAATAGCTCCTGCCCCTCTTCCTCGCAAGCAAACGGGAGATATCTGTCATTTTGAGTCATATATGACCTCTACATCTTTAGAGATCCGCCTATATCTCTTCACTTCCTTCATGAATTCAATAACCTTTTCGGACGACAGTTTATGCCAACGAGGAATGTAAATCCTCTTAAGTATTGGAGCGGTGGCTAACACGAACTTCACAAGGTCCAGCTCCATCTGTGTACCAAGGCATTTCTCGATTCTGAACTCTCTAAGTTGCTGCAAACAACAACTACCAGATCCTTGGCGGGACTCTGCTTCCAACAGGCTTAGAATGCTTGTTGCCGCATTATTAGTTGAGGGCTGGTTTTGTTGACTAGGGTCCAGCTGCAAGAGCATATGTCAAGGACTCGAGTTAGGCCAAAGACCACAATTACCCATTTATAGAACTTCACAGTAGCCGGCAAAACAAACCAACCTTGATTGTTAGCTCACGCAAGTTGGGGGAACTGATGATCAAACAAACAAGAAAATGCGCCGTCTCCAAGCTACTGAAGTCAAGGTTCCTGGTATGGAGGAGTTTTAATCGGTGAAGAGGAGTAGGAAGCCTGATGGGAACATCACTATCACCTACAGTAAGGTGCTAATTCAGAGAAAACCCCAAATGAGTACCAGAAAGAAACCGAAGGATTGGGAAAAGAAGGTTGTAAATGGGAGGGCAAACAAGCAAACTTACTTGTGGGAGTTGAAAGTCGACACGAAATTCTTGGAGTTCTGTGATAGAAGCAAGTAAAGCTACCATATCTGCAGTCTTTTCGAAGTTTCTGCATAGCCTGAGACTAAGTAAGACAGGAGTACAGTTGAAGCAGATTTTCTGTAAATCCCTGTACGTGAAACAGAACCGTTCGAGACATGGAGCCACAATGTTAAGATTACTCGGACCATCACAGTTTGTGAGCCTTAAGGTTTTAAGCATCGGGCACTTGAGAAGGAAATTCTCACAGAAATCAGAGGGCAGAGTTACATCTGACAATAAGAGAACCGTAAGCTTGCTAAAACCCACAAACCATGATGGTTGTCTAAATTCGCAATGCCGAAGTGTGAGCAGGTTCAGTTGAAGACAAGAAAACAAGGAAGAATGTAACTTGTATTTCCGACCATCAAAAGCAGCACAGGAGAGCTTAAACTCCTGGAGACCTCGGCGAGAAAGATAGAGAACGACTTCATCAATCTCATTCCCGTAGCGGGGACTTAATCCAGGAAATGAAAGCAAAAACTTTGCTACTGGGCCATCATGGAGCAGCATAGCTTTGTAAATGTTGAACATTAACTTGCTCCTCATGTCAGTTGTTCTAAATCCACCCGATTCGATGGCGAAGCTACGATCAAACACAAGTTGGGGAATACTTCTCCAATGATGCCTCCACTTTGTTGATAGTATACTAGTTTTGGCAGCGTCTTTGATGGGTAAAGACACCAGAACCCGATGTAGCACATCCTCAGGAAGGTTGGTAATTCTATCGGCACTCCGTCCACACACCCGCTTCATCCTTTCACTGCCTATATATAAAAATTCTACACAAAAATCCAAACAATTAACCCCAAATCAAACAAGTGATACCAAGAATCATCGACATACCTAGATTCTCAATTCTGCAAAGTAGTACATAGATTCGTAATCACCTTTTCCACGAAGGATAATCTTCTGTAAGACCCGAAAGGTTGAAAACCGCCAACGCCCTGAACCTTTTGCCGGTATTTCTTTACCATTAAAGAGCTAGGGCGTGAGCTAGAACGGGTTGGAGGAAGACGTGTCGGCAGTCGATTTTCGGGTTGATGAAACCTTGCTTTCTCCCGCCATCTGCAGAGTAGGGATTGCGATGTTGACGTAGAAGAACGGAGGGAGCTTGGACGATGTTCTACTTCTCGGCTCTGATGAGGGATGTTACGGGCCTGAGCCCATTTTATTCAGTGCAGATCAAAGGGGAATGATGGGCCAGGTGCCTTCGCTTGGGTTCTTCTAGTGGGCCGATCTAAGTCACTGTGGGTGGGTCTGGTGGAATGTCCAAAATTTTCTTAAAAGATTATCACAATAAACAAAGGTCTAATTTTTCAATTGCTTCGAATATAAAAAATGGGCATCCATAGCAAAGATTAATAACATTGTAACCAGTGCCTTTTATGCAGATTATCGTTGAATTAAAAAGGGTTAATACATTATTTTGGAATGAATTATAACCAATATTTTTATTTTGATCCTTGGTTTTTGAAATTGCTCCATTGGCCCGAACTATGCACCATATTTCTTTGCTTAGCTTGGCCCAGGTTTTGACCGTCAAATTAGAGGATCAACTCCATTCCCCATTAGTCAAGCGTCAGGTCACTTGCCACATCAGCGAACCCGAAATAAAAATTTTGGATTTTGAATTTTTGTAATTATTTTTGAATTTTTGTAATTATTTTGGATTTTCCTTCGTTAATTATTATTGTTATTGGAAAATAAAACAAATTAAATCAATTCAAAATCCAAAATTTTTATTTCGGGTTTGCTGATGTGACAAGTGACTTGGCGCTTGACTAACGCTCAATGGAGTTGACCGTCTAATTTGACAGTCATAACCCACGCCAGGCCAAACAAGGAAGTATGGTGCATAGTTCGGGCCAGTGGAGCAATTTCATAAACCACTGACCAAAGTAAAAAATTTGGATATAATTCGAGCCAAAATAAGATATTAACCCAATTAAAAATATAGAACTCATGCAAAAGTATATAAACTCATAATAAACTTAATAATAGGTTATTGTAGTTAATCTAAAATGACCAGTAACAGTACCTCTTTTTGCTATCAAGAATCTCCATCATCAACTTTACTATATTTATCATCAACAAACAGTTCTCTTTCACATTTTATGAGCAAATTCAATGAGAAAACACAATCATACATTAAATATCATTTTTCATGGCAAAACAATTTTCCTCATCCTAGTCAAAATGTTGTTGGAGATTCTTTTTTCCTATCATTGTCTTCGAAACTATTAATTCAATTATGGAATTTGTGATGTTGCAATCACTAAACTTAAATCGGTACTTAAACTCCGTTCCTTTTTGTTTTTAATACAATGACAGTCAATTTATCGTGTTTATTGCCTTCATATTTGATACATTTTACTTTTTATCAATGCATTTTTAGTGGTTTTTATAATATGTCATAGAATTCATAACTATTTGAATAATGAGTTTATGACAGACTTGAGTGTGTTTTTGTACTATTTTACATATTTTGATGTTGTTTTGTGTTTTCAGAGAAATAATGCATTCGAGATCAAGAAGAATATATGGATCACCACCAATGGATATGAAAGATTTACGTGCAGTTTAGTAACACAATGTGTATTAGTCCACGGGCAGGAGAGAGCCGGTTTCACTATACTTCGAGAAGATACAGATTATAGAAGAGTATGAGAAGTATTTATAGTACTTCTCCATGTGGTCTAACTCTAATCCTATTTGGTAAAAGAAAAAGTATTTATAGTACTTCTCTTGCGAGACCCCATGACTTACAGTCATAGCCAGATAGTCTGCAAGTCACATCAATAGGACTGTACCCCTGAAAAAAGATGATGGATATTATGCCGTCGTTCAGAAAAATCCGAAGAATTGCTTAAATGGATTGTTGAGTAAATCATTAATTGTGATGAATGCCTTTGATTATTTTTCGTTGATTGATAACAATCTGTGGAGGAATATGTTTAAAATATGAGTTTTTATTTGGGGACTTAATAGCTTCTTTCAAGCCAAGAAGTCAGTGTTGCTGAATAATGGAAAGTGCAGAAAGATTCTTTCAAGCCACAAAAATTACGTAGATATGATGACAAATTTAAGCACATAGATACTCCATCGATGGAGCTAGCTAGCCCTTGGTTTAATGTTAAACTATAACACGGTAATCGTGAGCCTACTTTTGGGTTTGGGACAAACACCAAAGCCTTGATAATTACTAAGCGGTATATGTACTACCTTTGAATAGGTCCAACTTCCTAAAGACAAAATTAAATTAATTAACCTCTTTTTTTTCTCCCATGAGAATCTCATGATGAGATCCCTTTTTGACCGAAATCCGAATAGTAATAGTGTACTCGATTTATGTCTTTACATTCTTTGGATGTTTTCTTAAACAGTATTAATGGCCATTCATAAAAAAAAAAAAAAAAACGAGTGGGAAGCAAAATCAAATTAGATTTCTAACTAATGATTAGCTATGTTCCATTTATTATACTCTTACTAGGGGTGTGAAACGTGAGTTCGGTCAGGATAAATTCATGAAAATCACAGTCCATTTGTGAAAGATATTTTAGAACTAAAAATCGGATCATCATTATATTTCGTTTATATGATCCGGTTTGGTCTGGTCCAATTATCAATTCAGTTCATATTTTCTTAATTAATTATAAAATTTATAAGATCAAACACCGGACTGTATGATACTAGATTTGATAAGTCCGATCTAAACTACGGTTTGGTCCGGTATGGCACAACCCTAACTCTTACATTTAGTTCAATCGAAACCCTCTCTCGAAGTATCATTTCCCTATAAATATATATCCAACCATTACCACAATCAAGGCCACCAAAATGGTCGGGAAAGTTCACAAACGGGAAATAAAACCCACACGGCTTCTTCCAAGTCAAGAAAGGAAAGCCAAGTTTGGTCCAGCCAGCGCCGGCGGCGGAGAACAATAAAGGAAGTCTTTACTTCCTCTCCAACGTCGACGACGACTTGACCATCACCTGCACGCTCTACTGCTTCAAGTCCGGCGGCCCGGCCGCCGCAGAAGTGATCAGGAACGCATTGAGCAAGGTTCTTGTCCACTACTACCCTCTCGCCGGCCGGCTGGTCGTCTCGCCGGAGGGAAGGCTCGCAGTGAACTGCACCGGTGAAGGGGTTGTGTTCGTGGAGGCGGAGGCTGATTGTACGTTGGATGACGTGGATTTCTCGAAGCCGGATAAGGATACACGTGGCAAGCTCGTTCTTTATGACGTTCAAGGCGTAAGGAACGGGCTAAGATCAGGTGACTAAGGGGGCCCCTTAGTCACATGACTAAGTCAATCTCAGCCATTGAGCCTCATTAAAATCTAAGAGTTGTAATTGATCTCATTTAATAAAGGATAATCTAGTAATTACAAATTGATTTAATTTAATTATTAAAAATTTAAAAAACTTGCCTGCTTGCTTACGGTTTTTTTTTCCTGTTCCGACGTCAGACAACCTCCGAAGGCTGCTGCGTTTCCGGCGGACTTTCCATCCCGACACTCGTCGTCGATTTGTCATCTGCCACCTCCTGACTGCCGCCGACCAGCAATATAATGGCCCTGGCCTGCATCTCCGTCACGTCGCAGACGCTGTCCCTCCGCCCTCCCACCGCCGGTCCTTTACTTGGGAATTCGCCGGCGCGATTTTTCCCAGGGAGGGTCGCAATTTTTCCCGAGGGAATTATCCCGAGAGAGAGAGAGAGAGGCCAGTGGGTCTGTGGGTGTTTTGTATGGGAAAGGGAATTTTCCCAGGGGAATTATCCCACGTAACAGAGAGAGAGAGATTTTCTGGTCGAAATTTTTTTTTCGGCGACCATCGTGGACGGAGAAGAATTTTACGGCGATAGTGCCAATTTTGTGATGTTTGTTGACATATTTTGTAATGTTTGTACGCTTTGTTATTTTGTAATGTTTGTAAACTTTGTTATTTTTGTGCATCATGTTTATCATTTTTGTCAACCATGTTTGTATTGTTTTTTATGTCTAAAAAGCAACCTGGTTGACTTTTGGATGGAACTTCTCTATATTCTCTTCTCTCTCCCTAAAACCCTCCGCCCCCAGCGCCAGCAACCACCGCCGCCTCCCGTCACAACCACCGCCGCCTCCCGTCACCGTCATCCACATCCTCCCGTCACCGCTTGCTTCTAGCTCCGGCTGATGTTGACTTCGGCAGCTCCGTCATTCTGACTCACCGTTATCTTCAAACACCATACAGAAACAAAACTCGACGGCGAGAAAGGATTCGCCAGTTTCACGGCGGAGACGGCGATGATGTTCTTACCTGCAGCCTCCCTCTACCGCCACTGCTAATTTTTTCTCACCTACACCATTCCAATCATCGACTAGTGATTCCCTCACCGCCGGCGACAAGTTCGATGTCGATTTCATCTTCCCTATGCTTAACACCCTTGTCCCGAAGTTCCACAAGCAAAATCGCCTCGCCGTCCTCTGCTGCTCTCACTTTTCCCGCCACCGTGAGAGTTGCCGCCGTGGCCGCACTGAGGGAGCACCCGGAACTCATCCCCGACCGCGAATTCGACGAGGCAGATGGCGCAATCGGAGAATTTGGCCGCTGTGTCTGTGGAGAAGGTCTGCTTGGGAGGGCGCGGAGGATCTTCTTCTTCACCCCCTTTCTGCTTCTTCTTCTTCCTCTTCCTGTATTTGGGTTTTTTTATTTATTTAAGATTTGGGAATGGAATGAATCTGGATATATTTTGGGGAAGGTGAAGTGGGTCTCGGTTGGTCCGGTTAGTCGGATAACCGCGGTTAATTACCGTCGGTTACTTGGTCAACCGACCCCCTCCTTTTCCCATCCGACCGTCAAGGTAACCAGTCGGTTTTCGGTTAGCTGGTAACCGGCGGTTTTCGGTTAAAACCGACGGTTACCCGCTAACCGCAAACCGAAATGCCAGCCCTAGCCGAGACCAGCTAGCTCAACTCATTTATCAATGAGTCGTGTTCAAAATGAGTAAAATTCGGCTCATTTGTAACCCTACTCAACACCTCAACTCACAATAAATTAAATTATTATTATTATTATTTAATTCAGAACATGAAAACTTAAAATAGCAAAACAGGAAAAGGAATACATAACTTCATTGTTTTTTGTCTTTTATCTCTGACGATTATATTTTTCGTTTCGTTCTCTTCCAAATAATTTT